TTATATACATATATATATATATATATATATATATATATAACATCATTCTAAAATTATAAAGAGTTGAAATATTTTTAGATAAACAGATTTAAACTGAAAGTCAATCAAAACTTGATCATTATTCTTTGACATAATCAACATATAATTAATTAATTCTAATAAAACAATCAGGTCTTGAATAGATCCATGTTTCCAGCCAGATTTATAGGAAGCAACATTAATGGAGTTTTGACTTTTGTGGGAGGAGAAATTTTTTTTCTTTTAATTAAAAGAAAAGAATTATTATTAGGACATATAATATTTGGAATATCTTTAAGAATAGGAGTTCGGCCTAATTCAACCTTATGCACTTGTCTTCAGCAGATATGCGATTGGTGCATTAAATTTATACAATTTTATTCATTACTTTTAATATTTTTCACTTAAAAAAATGAAGCGGATTGTGAACTTGTGAAACAAGTGGAAAATCCGTTACAAATATGCACATAGTTTTTCACTTTTTCTTTAACATTTTTTTAATCTAATATTAATTTTCTTTTCTTTCATCTAATTATCTTAAATATTCTGCGACATGTTAATGTTTTAACTTGTGAAAAAAAAAAAAAGTAACAGCCCTTGATTGAACAGAAGAAGGACACGTAGTTTATTAAAACCACGAAGGAGAAAACAACGTTGTGCAGTCGCATACCACATACAGCAAGTGTCCGTAGGTTAAGTGTCTCCATTATTGAATTCATTGATAGGAGGAAGCTAGTTAATTAAAACACAGAGAGCTCAACTAATGTAGTACATGGGATCAGGAAGCTTAAAGGTTCTATCCCCTGTGTTGGTTCCCAGGATATCGCTCCATTGGTCTCCAATGTTTCCAATGATATTGTATCCCTTTTCTTCAAGCTTCTTTCTCTCACTTGATTTGTATGTAACTGCTGTCTTACCATGGTATATAGATGTATCCCTGCAGCCAAACAAACAATTTTCTTTTTTGTTATTATAAATTTAGGAGAAAAATACCGTTCTTAATTTAGTCTTGTATATTTAATTTTTTTACATCGACTATAGTAAAAAATAATACATAAATTATCGGTTGATTTTGTAAAATTAAATTAGATTTAGATTCTCAAGAAATCCATAGCAAAACAAAAGTCTCCAAACTCCAAGAATACTTGCAAAATACTAATGTTTACCTCAAAAATCAGTTGTTTAAAATTTAGTTTGAGCATGCAAAATTCTGATGCACTAGGATGTGTCAACATTATCATGTAAAAAGTGTTGAGTCTCTTGTTAAGTTTGCTTCCTTTTACTTTTTTACAGTTCATTGCGCTAGAACTTGTCTTCTCTCTCAAAGAGTCAAACTCTTTCTGCAATTTATTCCAAGTCTGTTTTACCACTATACTTGGCTAAGTACGTCTCTTTGTCTTCTTAATTGCTTGTCGCAATGAACAAAACATATCATATGCCTTTTCATAACACTTTCCCTTTAATCTCTCTAATAAGTTAAAATAATACAATATCATATGGTAGTAAACATTGAATATTTTGAAAATGAAAAATATATTAAATGTTTTATTCTTTTAATTAGTTAATAAGTTAATACTTAAGACAGCTGTGTTGTCAAAATATTGGAATTATTTAAACCTATCCACTCGTTTTTCTACGCCTCTATATTTGTTTAATGTTCAGAACACGTTTCAATTGTGTTATAGTTATATATAATTAATGGATTGAATGAATCATGCATGACTAAAATTTTGACAGATATAAAAAAGTTAAGTAACATAATATATATTCGATTACTTTATTTAGATCTCACACTAATTATCAAATTATTGTATATACCTATATATAAAAGTTATTTTTTTTTGTGTATATAATTTTTTTAGATTATTTTATTTTTAAATTATTTAATAATAAAAATTACTTTTTTAAAAAAAAAATTTAATATTCAAACTTGAAATTTTAAGATTTGATGACTAAACATAACATTAATTAATACAATAAATATTAATAATTTTTAAATATTTTTAAATAAATATAAAAATATAAAAATACGGAATATCTCAATCCTAATAATAAGAATAATATTTATTTTATAAAATAGTTTATAAAATTAAATTAAACTCCAATCTACTTTATTAAAAAATTAAAATATAAAACTATTTTTTTTTACATCAATGTAAAATAATAATTCATATCACATCAACCAAAGTTCTATACATAATTTATTCAATGTCATGAATTTGATGACACGTACTATATTATATATAAATAGAACTAGCTGAATTATTGTCGAGGTAGAAAAAAATAATAGATAGGTCATTCGATAAGTCAAAAATGTGTTAATTACGATTATATATATATATATATTAAAGAGCACTCAATCAACGTACAAAAAGTAAATTACATGATATTACTGTGCTTTTAGACTTTTAATATTTATTCTATTAAGGAAGACAATATCTTATTTTTTAGACTATTTTATTTTTGAATAATTTCCAACCCACTCTTTCCCTATCGTCATCGTCTT